CTCATATCAGTTGAGAGGAGTCTCCATTTCTGTTCCTTCTTCCCTCTGTCAAAGTGCAATGAATACGTTCATAAATGAAAACTGCTCCTATCTCTCTATGCTCTTCTAGGTACCTCCAGTTGTTGATGGCCAATGGTACAGAACTTCTGGCATCTCTGTAGGCTAATTTATAACGCGGTTCGCATCTTGCCACGCTATCAAGATCTTGCATGTGATGGCTGAAGGAAAATGATTTTTGGAGTTCGGTGAATTGATTTGATCCCACGCCGACGCTGATTTGGTTCTTGTTGCAGGTAACGAATCATTAACTAAATAAACTACGCTGATTTGGTTCTTGTTGCAGGTAATTAATATTAACTAAATAAACTAAAACAAAACGTAAATTTACTGTTTCAAATATTATCCATCTACTCATATTTTATTATTCATAAGTTTTTTTTATATTTTTATTTTTGATGTTAATGAAAGAATATTTCGATCCATATCTTATTTGTTCATCCATTTTAATCCCTAGAAGGAAGGGGGAAGAGAGAGACGGGAGAAGAGAGAGATCACCAATCAAGCTTATTTAGGTCACTTTGATCAGCGAAAATTCACTAAATTTTTTTATCTTTGAAAGATGAGTTTATCCATGATTGTTTCAAGCCATTAAATAATTAAAGAAGATAGATCCGAGCAAAAAAAGAAAGAATCTTTCGACTTGATTGTGTAATTTTTTTTTGTTTTTGTGTGTATTAAAATGATTTTTAAGGTTTTAGATATGTTTATTAGCTTTATTCCGATCATTTAGAGATGCTTGAGAGAAAAAAATGATACCAAAATTCAATTTTTAGAGATATGAAACTTGACCCTCAATTTTCTGAGAAAGATTCCGGCGATCTCGATTCGCCGGAAGTTGCATCTTTTTTTTTTTTTTTTTTTTTTTGGGTCTTGAGCAGCAGTCCGTGCCTGACGTGCAGGCCCGACCTGCCCTGGCGCGCATGATGATTTTCCTCGAGGCGGCTAGGAAATGGTAATCAACAAGAAGTCATCAAGTTCACATCTGCCAACGCTTATCAACCATTAATTAATTAATTCAAGCTAATCAAAGCAATAAAGGTAAAGCAAAAATTAATAGTCTTGAGGGAGGGAAGCTGCATGGTGGGTGTAGCGGGACATAGAAAGTCATAACCAAGAATAAAATATTAACTGGTCATTTAGTTTTTCAAAACGGATTTAATAGTCTTTTGCTTTCAAAAATTAATTAATTTGTCCTATATCAGCATTGAATATGATTAATTGAATATTATTTATTTATAAAAAAAATATCTTTTTTCTCATTAATTATTTTATAAATATTAAAATTTTATTATATGTGATTTTTATCCTTATAATAATTTTTTTTTTTTAGCTTTTAGTCAAAATTTATGTTCTTTTTTTGTTTTTATTTTTTAATATGTTTTTCTTTTAGTCATTAAAGTTTTCTCATATTTGATTTTTATCCTTAATAGACTAAAACTAAATAAAGTTTACCATCCTAAGGTTGTTTTTTTTTCTTTTAGTGCGATTTTCTTTCTATTCTAATTTCTGTTTTGTGATTTTTTTTTATCTTTAAATTTAGCAGAATTTTTTTTAGTCTTTTTTTTGTAATATTTTTTTATTTCGATCATTAAATTGTTTCCCTACAAGGAACTATTTTTTTTTACTTTTAGTAAAACTTTTTGTTATATTTTAGTTTTTGTTTTATGATCTTTCATTTATTTTGATCGTTAAACTTTTATTATATTTGATTATTATTCATTCTACCTTAAAATTAAATACATTTTAACTATTTCGAAGTTTTTTTTTAGTTAAAAAATTTTCTGTTTTGATTCTTATTTTATTAATTTTTTTATTTTGGTCATTAAAATTCTATAATGTTTATTTTTGTTCTTGCCTTATGTATAATAAATATTTTTTAGTTTTATTGTTTATAAGTTTTTTTTAAGCTTTTATTGAAAGTTTTTATTTATTTATTTTTATCCTTTTTATGATATTTACTTTGTTTCAATCATTTAATTTTTATAGTGTGTAATTTTATCTTTATTTTCTTTGTTAAATTCTTGATTTGACAAAACTTTTTTGTCTTTTTTTTCTCTCTTGTCTCATTAACAAATTATAGATAAATAATATATGGTAAAAATTAATTATCAAAAATTCAAAAAAACTACCATATTATTATTTTAATTATCAGTTATTATACATATTTTAAATAAAATACATGTTTATATCAAACAATATCTAATTAGTAACATTATATTACTCAACTTTGTAGACTTTTTATTTAGCTAACCACTGCAACAAATTATGAAATATATGTTTTAATTTTTTTCTTTGAGTTTTTTTCCGCATGATATTGTTAAATAATGATTTGTAAATGTTAAATTTTATATGAATGAATGCATAAGAATGTTATATAACTCACTCCGCGGCAATGCGCGAGATATATGGTAGTGTTTCGCTATAAGGAAATAGAGTCTGTTAAAGTTTAATTCAAAAAGTATTATATTTAATTTCAGCTGGAGGTAAAATTGATCTGAAAATGCCTATTGTATGTAAATATAAAAAAAATAAAAAAATAATTGTTTAATTTATTGACAATATTAAGCATACTTAATTTAATATTATTTTATTTAAAAATTATCTTTTTTATCAATACTTATATATTTTTTTATTTTTTTATTATCTATTTCTTAAAATAAAAAAATAAAAAAATTTAAAAATATAACGACTGAATAATAAATTCTTAAAACAAGATAGATTAATTAATTCATTTTTTCAAAACTCAAAAAACTAATTTATAATTTTTTCGTACCTCCCACATCATGTGGTCGTGTATATTAAGGAAAAAAAAAAATCTTACTGCTATCATTATCGAGTTAAATTAGAACCGTGTGAATTGGTACATAGTTTGAGTATTTTCTTTTTCCCAAATTAACAACTTATGAATGCAACTAGATTTGGTGAGGTAATGCTATATTGTTCTCAAAAATATTTTTCTGTTGAACAATTGTCATGTACTCACCTTACATTGATATATATATATATATATATATATATATATTGTTTTCCTTAACATTGTAAAAGTAATAAATAAAGTAAAAAAAAATCTTTGCACTGTAGTTGCTTTTGAATTAGACTTTCATTGGGCCATGGAGGCCTTTGTGTAGCCCATTTGGCTTGCATTTCAAACCCAGTTCTCTTTGCCACTCAAATCGATGGAGGGAAAACCAAACCAATTAATACGCCTCCAAATTCAACTTAATTGCAAAAATACCCTTCCCTCTTCCTTTAAAGGCCAGCTAGCTTTGCAATAAAGCTCCTTCAGAATGCTTAGAGGTACTTGGGTAATAGATTAATTTTTTTTGAAAATACTTTCAGGTCGTTTTCATATTTTGAATTGGTTTTTAATTTATCATTCTGGTCAAAATTTTTGATCAATTTTTAAAAATTAATCTTGATATTAATAAAAATAGATCACTTGTATCAAATAATAAAAATAATTTTATCAAATTACATGTACAAATTAATACTTAATTTTATAGAAAATTTTAACTAAAAAGATAAATTAAAAATCAGTTCAAAATATAAAAATAGATTAATTTTTTTTTATCAAAATAAATTAAAAAATTGATATATTATATAAGAATATGTGAAAATATTAAACCTAGATATTTTAATTAGAGTTACTAGATTCATGGTTAGAGCTTTTCTAGTAAATTATAAAGTATTCTCTATTTTTCAAAAACAAATTAATCAATTTTTCTTAGTTTAAAAATTAATTATTTAGTCAATTAACAAGTATTGACTACGTTTAATTTATTATTTTTATATTTAAAAATATTTTTTTTCTCATCATTCCTTCTATTTTTTATCTAGTTTTTTATATTTTAAAACAAAAACCAAAATAAATTTAAAAAGAACCAGAAAGATTTAGTTATAAGAAAATTAAAAAATATAGATTTTTCATTTAAACATATATCATGAAGTATTTAACTTTTTTTTTCTAGTTAGGTTATTATAGATTAACACCTTTATTTTTTAAGAAAATTAAAAAATAACAACCCCATTTTTTGACGACTAATTGATTTGCTGGAAGTTGCAGAGGACTGTGCTGGCATTGCAATGCTGCCATTGCTAGTGGTCTGACGTGTGACGAATCAATCTTTGTCCGTCACTATTTTTTTGTTAATAAATGGTTGGACTGTATTTCCAGCCCAAATGCATAGGCCTAGTTGTTTACAAGCCCATCCACTCGGGCCTAGTGCACAAGAGCCCAGACTCCTTTTATTTTTTATTTTTTATAATTTTTCAAATTAATTTTTTTCTCTATAGCTAATTGTTATTTTTTGATTTTTTTTATAGACTCAACAACTAAAAATAAATAATCTTCAAATATAAATTGATTTAGCACTCTTTTCTAATTTGATTTTTTAATAAATAAATAATTTATTGTAGGTTTTTTATTGATCAAAATCAAATATAGTTATAGGATATATTTGAATTCAAACATAGAACACAAAAATTTTATTAAATATTTTATAATATTAAATTAAAAAATTTCATCGTTAATATTGATTAATTTTTATTTTACACCTATATTATTTTAATACTAAAATATATTATATACAATTATCTGCGATGACGCACAAGGTTAGTCAATCCTTTCATCACCGGATGTTTAGAATTACGTCAATCTTGATTTTTTCCTTAAAATGGAATGCTACCTGATCCCTTGTGCAATTAAGCGAAGTGCATGCATGTGTATTACAGAAACAAAAGAATTCAGACGAACATAGATAGGCAAAAGGAAATTTCTGTATCACAATATATGATTCTATAATATAAATGCAATTGCAAATAACTAAAACCAACAATGATTGAAGGAAGCATCAATTTCATCATCACGAATTAGTTGGTGATGGCGTTAATTGGAAGGATTACACATGAATGAAAAAATAAAAACAAAAATCTCCTAAAACTTAAGCATCTTCATGAATGGTAATAGTACTCTCATCACCAGAGGTTGGCTCCATATCTCTAATGAAATCTCCAGAATTGTCATTCCTTTCATTACCAGCACACATAGCAGTATGAATATCATCATCTCTGGTAGAAAGTGCAAAGTAGAGTGCCCCATTGCAGGTGAAGGACCAAAGCTCTACGGTGGAATTAAGATGGAGACGGTTCTTCTTGTTTCTGATCACAGAATTCCAACCTTTATTCAAGACGTAAATGCCAGTCTTGTTCATCATCCATTTCTTCAAATGCATTGGTTTTTCTTCAAGGCATGGTTGGATGAGTGTAACATCAATGGCTTCACGATTATCTAGTCTCCTCCTGTCTTCTGGCGTGAGGAAGTCCATGTCAATAACTTGATTGACAGGGATTGAGAAGCGACACTGTAAGGGGCTCAAGTCGGTGTCATACATTTGCTTGATTATGACCAACTTTGGGTCACTGACTGCATTTTTTGTTGCCAAATAGTTACTTAATTTAATTGGCAGTGATTTGGGCACCCTTCTTTTCTCGTTGGAATTTCGGTTTTGGCATTCTTCTGCTTCTTTTTCAACAAAACCTCGTTTAGTACCTGCAATGGGTGTTGTCGGAACATAGTTGAACTTCTTGTTTGGTCTCCTGCTATTAGTTGAACTCTTTTTGGTGGTTATGGTGTTGGCACACAAAGTAGAGGTACTGTAGGCAAAAGCAACTTGTGCTAACAGATCAATGGGGTGGTAGGAGAAAAAGGGATCTGATGATGTTTGAGTAGAAGGAACAAGGGCGTTGTTGTTTTTCTTTAAACAAAGCTTTAGGTTAGAACTGTTAACCTGCAAAGACCAAGAAGTAGCTTTAACAGATGATTTGGGTCTGGGCTTCTTCTGCTTGTTATTCTTCTCAGTATTGTAAGTACTGCCGTAGTCCCAATCATCAAGAAGAGAAGAAGAAGCGGCTGTGACATCAGCCAAGAGATTCAAATCGCTAAATTTGTAGGCTTCTTGATCAAGTGGAAAACAATTTCTTTGCTTCGGTAAGAGTTCAGAAAGCAGTACATCTGGAAATTTGGTCTCCTGCTTCTTCTTCTTAATAGAATCTTGATTTCTATCCGTGCACATGTGTAATTGATAATCAGCAATGGCAACATCTGCCAGGAGATGTAAGCCCTCCATTCCCATTGAAGTAAACAACACAACGTAATTAAGGAAGGAGATGAAAATCAAACACAGAGCAAGAGAAGGACTTAAAGAAAGTTTTTATTTGTTTGTTTCTTGGGAGGAGTTTAGGGTTTGTTGATTGAGAGATTCGGAAAGTTTAGGGTTTGAGCGACTAAAAAGTTGCTTGATTTCTAAGCGACATAGAAAAAACAGAGAGTTGGACTAGTGATGAGAGTTATAAGAAATTGGGAGGGAGGAGGAGTCCGTTACATATAAGGAAGAAACGCGGGCTTTCCTTCTTATCCAACAGCTATATTAAATTGACGGTTGAAATTTATATCCTGTTTACCAATTTACCCCTCCCTTTCTTTCAAATTTCAAAACCATGCCAGCGTTCGAGATCCTGTCTGCTATTGATGCATTACCAAACCTCACCATCAATTGGGTACTGAATACAATGCATATCCCACTAATGATTAGTCGTTGACGCTGAGGAAGGTATAACTCCGAGCAAGCAAGAACCATGACTGAAATCCTTAACATCACAGGATTCAAGAGGATATGGGAGTATGAAAGGTCCACCTTTTTGAATTTAGTCGATTGAATATGGCCTACACAGTTCTCAGCAAGTATTACCGTAAATGGTTTGTTGAGAAGGGAAAGGTCAATGGATGGGATGATCTTTGACTTCCAACTATCCAAGGAATTGTACGTAGAGGTCTGAAGTTGAAGCCTTGTCAAAATTTATTCTTGATCTGGTAAAATCATATGTTGCATTTGTGTTGACTTTAGAGTTAATTGAGACTTTTATATTACCATGATCCATTTTAATAGGTGTAGCCTTTACTGTACACAAAAATGTGATGAAATGCCATGTTCTACCTGAACAGTAATATAGGCAAACATGCCTTGTGCATCTCTGTGATGCATGTTGGCCTTTGCTTTTTCCTGTTATAGCATTTGTTACTTTTAATAATCAATTTCCAAAATTATAATTAAAATCATTTTGCTGAACTTGTTATTTCTGTGGATGCAGAAAAAACAATCCAAAAAACCTGATAATGATCCAAGTAGAAGGATAAGCATGCAGAAGGATGAAGAGTGATCTACGATTTTGGACTTCCTTAATTATAATGCAAAACAGCAAAAGTTTCAAATGTGATGATAAGTGAATACAAGCTTTTGTGTGTAAACCAGCACAGAAGGCTTTGATGATATTAAGTTTGCTGTCAAGCATAGGTGTCTTTAAACCTGAGTTAATTGTTTTCTCCATGAAGTAATTGGGAACTCTAATCTAGTTTGGTTTTGTAATAATCTTTGTTTCCTTAGATCATCTTTCTGCATTTTCTTTCTTTTCCTTGTATCAGGATTAGAATCCTGATTTACTTTTCATCATCGAAAAGAATAAAAAGAGTGCTGGGGGATTGAGTGTGGAACGGCATGCTAATACATAGTGGGCATTTATTGCTCATGTAAAATATTTTGGGCATGATTCTGGTCTCTAAGAATTGATCTAATTATCCATATTTAAGATAGGTTTTATATTTTCTTGATATTTATCAAACAGTTAATTTCATACTGTTTCAGGGATCATCAAAAAATCACAATCTCATGGAATGGGGCAAACTTTGGTCACTTGATAATTAAGAGCATTATTGATCCCAAGTGTTCAAGACATACTGCTGTCATTGAAAACTGGCGTGTGTTGCTGACTTTCAGGAATGGTCCTGATAAACCATCTGTTCGCATCATACCCCGATGTAAGAATTATGAGGTTGCTGGAAAGAAGGCCACAACGTACACAAACAGGATTTGGATAGGCCATGCCGATCTGAAGTCTGTTTCTGTAGATGAAGAAACAACCTTAATGGACTGGGGAATGCCATATTGAATTGAGGAAGTTGATCAGAAAGACCAGGATGCAAATCTCAGACAATTGATTGGGGTTTTGCACCCAGAAGGATCAGTTGAAGATATATACAAAGCTGAAGCTAACTTGGCTACCTGAGACAAGCGAGTTAGTTAGCCTGATCCTGGTGCTTTCTGAACATATATTCGATAAGCAGAAGCTCTTCCGGAAAAAGAATAATGGGGTAATTAATTCTTGGTCTACTGATTTTGTGACTTTTTATTTTTCAGTTTCCAAAAGATTGCACAATCAATTATTATCTTAGATATTCTCAATCAGGAATGTATGATCAATTTTCTGGTGCTTACTCGTTAATGCTGTGAATGCAGATAAAAACTGCCAAGAATTAATGCTGCAGGTGAATATCCAGAATGCTTAATGCGGTAAATCCAAAATACAAAATCAGAGATAGCAGCAGTGGAGATTCTGATATTTGACACTTAAAGCAAGCAGAGGTGGTGCAGCTGTTAGAGAGGAAGGGCTATTTAAAAGTATTCTGTTTCCTATACCAATGAATATATATTATATATAGCATTTTTCGCAACCATTGAATGTTTAAAAACTTTCTGATGCTTTATATATACGAGAGTCCAAACAAATAATTACAGCTAAATAAAATGATCAACAATCAGGCAAATGAACAACAGTAACATTTGCTAGAAAAGTTGAATCAATTACAAGATGAAACCACCTGCACTAGAAGAACCAAAAATCAAAGGTCATATCGAATCAATCATCACATGGCAGATATCTTCTTTGCTAGCCACCTCTTTGTGGCGTCTTCTATTGCTTCTTCCCTCCTCCTCAGGACTTCTTGAAAACATTGAAGGTAATGAGAATCAATTGCGTCAAGCTCCAGCTTTGGCTCATTAGCTTTTCCTGCAGGTATAGCTAAGGAGCAAATGCTGGACAGATTCTCTTTTTTCGTCAGACTACCAGAGCGCATGAACTGATAGATGAGACCTCAGAATTCCAGCTAGGAATGAACTTCAGTATCATGCTGTCAATCAACTCAACAATTAAAGCTGCATCTTTAATTGACAAATCAAGTTGTTCAACCATCTCCTCAGATACCGAAACTGCAGTATCTGAATCGAGATAAAAATCGAAATCGATATTCCTTGCTTGACCACATGGATATTCAGCAATGCGCAGAGTCAATGAAATTGTGTTATCACCCTTTTTCTTCCCTCTTAATGTGAATTCTTTGTTCTCCGTGAACCTTTGAAATTCTTGAGTTGAAAAAATTGGAGCTCCATCCATACTTCTTGTACAACGGCCTACTGAAATCTTCTTCTTGTCGCTGTCCATGGAATGGGATTCTGATTGAGGCAAGCTGACTTGTTTAGGTATAAGGTTTGGTGACTGCAGAGAACTGGATACAAGTTCCTTAGGACTTTCAGCTGATAAGAAAGGATCTTTCAAAAGCTCTGATGCAGGCAATCTCAAAGAGGCCGGAACTAGACACTTCTCGATGAACTCCTTGACTTGGGGATCATCTACGTTGTCGAGGGCAACAGGCCTTACACCCGAAATAACCTTCTCGTATATCTCTCCTGGATTTTTGCATTCACTATACGGGTAATCGCAAGTAACCATCTCTAACATGCACATACCAAACGAATAAATGTCAACAAGTTCGTTGTACTCCTCCTCGTAAAGCTCAGGAGCCATGAATTCAGGAGAACCTAAAACTTCTCCAGCCGCAGAAGGCTGTTGCAAAACGATCGCTAGTCCGAAGTCTCCGATCTTCACTCCTCCATTGTTTCCATTAATAAATACATTGTCGCACTTCAAATTTCGATGGACAACAGGAGGTTCCTGAGAATGCAAGTAGTGTAAACCTTGAAGGATCTGCCTTGCCCACTTTTTGATTACTTTCACGTTAACAGATCTATGCTTCTTAAAGTACTGCCTCAAAGTTCCTGAAGCCGACGTCTCGGTTACCATGTTCATGGTCATCTTCTTTTCATCCACCCAATAGTTGTAGAACTTAATAATGTTTCCATGTTTCAGCGACTTGTGCAAGTGAACCTCCGAGTACATTCTTTCAATCTGTTGAGGTGACTGAACTACATCTTCGATTTTCACTCGATTCCACGCAACTTCGACTCCATTAACTTCATCAAAACCCTTATATATAGTCTTCAATCCTCCCTTCCCCAAGATTTCATCATACCGACTATACCTTCCTGTTGGATCTTTCTCCACAACCTCACACGAATCAAAATCCATCACCGTCTAGAAAAGTACTTCAGAAAACTACAAAGAGATAGAAAATCAAGACAACAAGAGCACCGATGCTACAATAACAAGAAAAGAACAACGGCAAAGCAAAAAAGAATTTTCACTAGGGCTTCTACAAGAGAGAAAGTCAGTGGAGATAAGTCACGCGGTATCCAAATATATATAATGACTGTGAGAAAGTCGGTGGGAATGCATTCGGTTTTCGTTTCCCGTTACGCGTCAGCTACGTATTATGGATTATGGATTAGTACATCCAAATAATTATATGTTGGGTTTGGATCCCTCTTTTTGGGCTTAAACAACATGCAATAAATAAAACCTTTTAGGTCACGTATGTGACAATTAAAAAGAGCCATCCTTGACTTTTTGATAAAATTACAAATTAGTCCTTCGAGTTTTTGTAAAATTAATTAATCCTCTTTATTTCAAAAATTATTATTTAGTTCTTTCACCAGTATTAACTTTGCTTAATTTAATATTATTTTTATTTTATAAAATGTCTTATTTTCTTATCAATCTTTTTTCATATTTTTCTATTTTTTTATTTCTTAAAAAAAAAGAAAAATTACGTTACAAGTAGATTTAAAAAGTATGGGTCAAGATATGGGCAAAACTCATAAATTGTTATTTGATTAACAATAAAATTAATTAAATTTTTTCTTAAACACAATCTACTATATATAATAAAGCTAATAAAACTTTAATGTCAATAAAATTCTTATATATATACATACACCTTGTGATGCTCTTTGTATCTCTCTTTTACTTGACTTTTTTATAAATTTTATTTTATTTAATACACAATTTAGTGTAGTTTTTTTTTTTTTTTTTGAGAATTCATATCCATTTTTTTTTATTTACTAACAGTGTTTTTGATCCATCATTATATTTTGTTTTCTTAAATTAAATTTATATTTTCTATCTTACTAAAATGGATCTTAAATTCATATTTAGAATTTTGTTATGCATAAATTAAATTTTTTAGAGTTATCCACACAAAATGTAGGCGAATGGTCTAAAAACAATATGAATCACAACATATAAAAGAGCAAAAATTAAAAATTAATATTCTCTATCCATTAATTGCAGCACCATAAAATACAATCCACAAACAAAACTAATGACGCTCACAAATTAATAGAGAAATTTAAAACAATGATAATATCAAATCAGTCATGGTTAGGTGACAGGATTCACGTAAACCTTTCATCGATTCATCCGATCCAAGTAAAACCGAATACGATGATGCCGAAACCCTAATGAATCATATGAAACTATCATCCTGAACTTCATCTTTCATAAACCAATACACGACAATATCCAAGATATTTAGGAAGTTTTTTTCATTTCCCATTCAAAATTTTATGGCAGCTGCTAGGGTGTCAAATTATCTAATTGATTTTCATTAAGAAAAAATCATTATTATAATGATTATGCAAAATTTTCTATTGTTTCTAACATTTCCATGATAAATATTTACAGGAAAAAATGATAAGGATTAATAAAATTATAAAGAAAGATTTTAAATGGACTTGGACCTGCCATTGGCCCATCTAGATGTCTTTCCGTAGACAAATGGGCTCGTTATCTCGAAACCTTTTGTACCCTTGAAAGTCGTGGAGGGAAAACTAAACTTATAAAAATCCCATTTCGTTCCACTTAATATCAAAAATACCCCTGTGGCAGTCTCTTTATCCCTCACGCCCTCTCACCGAGCTGGTCACAGTAAGGAGTCTTACAATTCAAGAAATCTCTCTCTTTCTTTCTCTCAACAAAACGCACTGTAAGTTTGCTTTTTACCGATCCTCTTCCTTACTTCTTCCACGAACATCGATTTCTTTTCCTTATTTTTTGTTCCAGTAATTCTTTTAAACATTTTCATAATTTTTTTTTCGCTATAAATTTCTGTTTGGTTGCTAAGAAAGTTTTTGTGAATTGTCACCCGTGGTTAATTTCTTTATTTTTTATGCGCTGTACTTCGTGATGTTACTTTCATTTAATAATCTTTACTTTTAGTTATAAATCATGTTAATTAATTAGGATTATATATAACAGAATCGCTCTTTATTGTTTTCTTCTTTATTTTTTAGTGCTAATCAATTTGTTAGTTACGCTGCAAAACCTTACTGTAGTTATTTATTTATTTTTTTATATGTTTTTAGTTTTAGCATTAAAAAAAATTAGGACGAGTGTTAGCCTTAACTTGAATTGAGAATTTATTTATTTAGTTGAAAGAATGATAAGTAGTTAATTAGTAGCAGTAATTACTCTTTGTGAGCGAATGCGAGGCATGGAAATCAAAGTTATTAAAATTGGTAGGAATGCGGATTTTTGGTGTTTATGCAAGGATTTTTGTGCTAGATACTGATGCTCATTGTTATTGATTAATCACTTGCTATAGTGATAGAGGATTTTTTTTTTTTTTTTGATGAGGTGGACGATATTAAGATGGCAATTTTTTTTTTTTTAATTAAAATCGAGACAAGATTAATAAAAAGATAGTCAGCTGGCAGCTGACAAAAATTACAATGTTGTGATAAACTTGAGATGTGCCAATAAGAACTGAAGAAAAAGGATTAAAACCAAGCTATAAAATCATTGAACATGGCTAGTTATGCGAGTATGAATGGAGGTAATGTTGGTTTCTGACTGATGGTAAGGTATTGTTTGTGTATTGATAGGTGCATTTGGAATAAAGGTTTGAAAATATAGAGGAAAGATGTTGGACCGGGAAGAAGAGAGTATGCTGAAGATGGTAGTTGAAGAGGCAATAATGAAGACAAAGAAGATTATGGAAGGAAATCAAGAAATGAAGTTTACGGCTGAAGAATACCAGAGATTTCATCAGTATCCTGAAATGAATATCTAATTCTTTAATGTATTGCTGTATGTGATATTTTTAGTTAATGTTGTTTCAATGGATGATATACCCTTCACCACTTTGGTAGATGTGTTTATGATCTGAATTCTGCTAAGAATCGTAGTAACGCACCATGGCTTCTTGAAAGATTTGAGAAGAGCTTGGAAGAGAGCATCACTTCAGTGGTGAGCTTCTTTACTGGAAGAGTTGTTGTTTTAGTCGTGGTAGAAAGAGTTTCATTGTGTCAAATTGTGTTATTGCATGCCAGAATTCAAGTTTAGTTCCTTTCAATGTGTATTCAAGGGTGCAGCATCCATTCTGCCAAGTAATTGAACTTTTATGATTGTCCAACTATGATATATCAAGTGCATGCATTCAACCTTTACTAGACATAAGGCGAAGGCTGCTTACCTTGGCTGTCATTCTTTCTGAACAAAGATTTCAGTCATAAACATCCACACCTTCCTGTGTAAAATGAAACAAGAACTGAACCTATCAATTGGACTGATATGCTATACAAATGGAAGAGAGAAAGGCTTTTCTGTTTGTGCTAAATTATCTGATTTTGCTTCTTTTTTCTTGACAAAAGTACCATGCGAAGCTCTCTCCATCAGTTAGTAGTGATGAAAGTCAAGTGGACAAAGCGATTGAATCAGGATGATCTGGTAGATGATCTATGGAATGATGCCTATATCAATAGATTTTGATCTTTAGATTCCTTCATGTTTTCCAATGTTGAAAAATAATCTTATGTGTGCCGTGTACTCTGTGTGTGGAGAGTTAATTTTTTCCAATCTTATAGTTGATACCATTGAGCAAGTTGATGTTGATGCAGTCTTGGAAATCAGCCTACTTACTTTGTATGAGTTCTGAAAAAATAACCATTTCTGGCGTATTCCAGAATGCTGTTGCTAATTTGTCAACTGGTCAACTAGCGACTAACATTCATTCTTAGTATAAATGGAAAGAATTTCAACTGCCTATTAATGCTGTATGGATTTGTTTCTTATTCCATTATCAGGTACTGCCATCTTTAGTGGACAAACACGATGCGCTTTTGTTGAGAGAACTCATCTTGATGTGGTCCAATTACAAGTTGATGACGAAGTGGCTCTGCAGATTTTTTGAATCCATTGACCGCTACTTTGTGCCCAGCATCCGTTATTGTTCACTCAATGACATCTCAATTAATTGTTTCCATGACCTGGTAAAGAAATTTGTCATAATCTTTGTGTTATCTATGTTGTATTTTGCAATTTTAACTACGATTTACCTCTCCTTTTATATTTCTTTTGAATTTTGTCTATGTTGGTATTTATTGATTTGTATCTAAGCTTTCAGGTTTTCAAGGAGTTATATGTCAAATTCCAGGATGTTGCAGTATCATCGGTATGTAATTTTAAGTTCAATTTGGATTTTTTTCTGAAACTTACATTTGAATTTTTTGCTGCAGATCAATCAAGAACGCATGGGATTGCACATTGACTGCAGCTTGCTGAAAAATGTTTTTCTTGTCTTTATGGAAATGCATGAACATATAGGAATTAATAAGTATTATGAAGATTTCGAGAGGGTTATGCTAGAAGAAACCGCTAACTACTACTGTCAAATGGCTCGGCAGTGGCTTTCACATAATTCACCAGAGGATTATGTTCCAAAGGTTTTCTTTTCCTTTTTATGCTTGAGACTTCAGTAGTCTTGATGTCTGTTTGGGACATGAGATACAATTTTAAGCTTCAAATTGTTATTGTGGTATTCTTAGGTTTACTGGTGCTTGAAACAAGAGGCAGAAAGAGCTGATCGATACTTGCCCTCTGGCACACAACCCAAGCTACTAAAGGTACTTTCATTGTTTGTAGACCCTAAACCATTGTTGAACATAATTTAATAACAAAGTTTGCATCTGCTGATTATTATTCGAGCTTAAATGATTTTATCAGCTCTTAGACAACTCAAACTATATTTAACTGGAAATTTTGGTTGAAGTTTCTGAGCTGTAGTACCTTGTACAAACCTTCACTGTTCCCTTCCCAAGAACTTCAGCTTTATGCTCTCTCTTAGGTCAACCTCTACATTTGAAGTAAAAATTGACTTGCATTGAGTCTAATTTTGTAATTGGCAAGCTATCCTTTAGGTAAAAGCTGTTAAATTCATGTAGAGCTCTTGATTATATTGATAAGTAAACATTTGTGGTAAAATATCACAGTAGTTTGTAAACTCACACAAATAGTGAAAGAAATTGTAGAGCCATTAAATTTCAGTCCATTTACGTTCTTTTCTTTCTGGTTCCTTATGCAGGTTGTCAAACAGCAATTGGTTTATGACATATTGGACAAATTGGTGGAAAAGCAAAAAGCTGAGAACTGCAGCGTTGTTAAAGATTGTTATCAGGTGCTGTAAACTTCTAAGAGATCTTTTTTCTGTTATTTCCTGAAGTGGTGATCTATTCCTGGCTTCTCTTTTATCATCATAAACTCTTAAAGAAACTTTTTCTGTAAGGAGCAGAAAACAGATGATCTTATTTTTAGCAATCATCTAAATTTACTATTGTCCATCTTGAATCTTTATTTCTTTTTCCTTTTTCCTATCCATTTCGTAGATATGATTGTTTGATTGATGTATGGCTATGCTTCGACCATTTGTAGGACATGTTGTCAAAGTGTGAGAACATGACTCTTCAGGAGGGAAGTTCAGCAGAAGAATTGTTATCTACTTTATTGGGGAGCACAAATCTTTTATCTTGAATTTCGCTAGAATCAACTACATTTTTTACCAACTTATGTGCAAAAAACAGTTTTCTGCATTCTTCATCTAGGAAAATGACACCGATTCCTCTCAGGATGGAAGAGGCAAAGGTCTTAATACTTTTGTAGAGTTACTTCAAGAAATTTATATTTTTGCCCTAACAATAGATGCAAATCTTTTTTTCCCCCACAGGATTATCAAGTATATTCTAGAAGCACCTTCTGCTCTTTCCTTTGTCTTAGTTTTCTAGATGGTGGTACTTGATGGAATGTTTTGTTTACTAACATATCTGCCACTCTTGTAGTGCAAGAAACAGGGATCAGATCATCAGATGTTAAGGCCAAACCTAAAACAAGAGCTAATCTTGACAACTTTCACACACACACACACACATATATATATATTACTTTCTAGTTTTAGAAGAATTCAAAAATACTAAAGCAAGTATCTTCTATGTAAAACCTCAAGGTAATGCAAATGGAATTCCAAAGTGAATTCTAGCTTTCAGCCAATTCCATTCTGTCTTGGTTTTTTTGGTCATCCTGCTTATGGTGTGGTATTAGTACCTTTTTTTGTCAGCATTTTTCTCCATTTAAGCTATTATGTTCTGTGCATAATTTTAAAAAATAGTTGCAGTCACAATTGTGGATCGTGGCTTATTGTTGTTGTATTATCAGTTGTTAATAGATTTATTATAAAATAAAAAATTAAAAATGATTTTTTTCATAACAATAATGTTAGAATGGCTGTTATTTGGATCTTTATTCACCAAATAATGGTAATTACCATTATATAATGTTGTTATTGCTATATATTTGTGCGAATCGGAGTTATTCGGTATATAACGGCAAAAAATGTAACGTCTTTAATTGATTTCATTAAATAACGGGCTGTTACATTAATTAATTGTTATTTAAAACTGTGGTTGGAAGTCAGAGTTCTTTAATAAACTTTTTTCCATCGATTTTCAGACTGGACTTGCTGTGATTAATGATGACTTAATCTATCTCAGTGCACATTCCAAGTAATGATGACTTAGTTACCGTTATTTAAAAATGTTTGTTTGGTCGAGGATGGCTGAGACTTGTCTTTTTGGCTTCGTAGAAATGATCTCTTGTAGTCAGGTCTTAGCCATTTTGTACTATTATCTTATTAATTTTAATCAAATAACAATCATATTTAGCTAACAACAAATTCACGTTACAAGCCTCAGTTTGCCGGAAGGAATTTATTCTGCTAATAAAGGGTTCCCTTGACTTGTTGACCGTAATTTCCTTTTAAGATGTCAGGTCTCTCTGTGAATTAAGAATGTTATAGGGTATGGGTATACGTTTGGTATTAAGAAAGAACCGATAAGTATTTTAATAAAATAAAGATCGATAAAAAAAGGTTTTGAAATATAAAAGACTAACTTATAATAATGTTAAAAAACTAGAGACTAAAGAATAATTCACTTTTTTTATATTTAATATGCAGCAAGGAATTTAATGTCGGCATGCAAAAGCTTGCCGTGGAGATACCTTGATGTTAGTAATAATAAATAAATAATATTAATTCCTTTGTACCAAAAGATATTAAAAGACTAACTTATAAAAGATTTACTATGATAGTAAAATAACAAAATAACGATTTCAGCCGTTATGTAATGCTAAATAACAATAAGGGGATGCTCTAAAACTATCATATAGCAGTAATTATGTTATTTAAATATATGCTGCTGTCTACCTATCTTTTGCGCTCCATAGGGTGATATGTAGTGTAGGAGACAACTGTGTAATGTGGTTCTGAAATGAATTTTTTAAGTAAGAAATTAATGCACTGCCGCTTTTTCGTTTTTATCATTTTGAATGCAGGTTCATACATATAATGCAAGAATTTGTGATTTAATTTCTTTCTTTATCTTCATAATCACCTTGTCGTTAATTCACAAGGGTTGGAGTTTCTATCATGTCTTAAAGCACAGACATTTGTAATTTGTTGTCCTGTGAACAGGCTAGATGGCTTCACGTTTAAAACTGAGGAAAAAAACTGAAGATGGAAGGAATGAAGAGAAGAGTCAGGAGACATCATTGATGAAGAATGGAAGAATGTTACTAATTGCCTTTTGTGATGGAAAATGCAATCCTCTCCGCGTCTCTCTGCTGACGAGCTCAGCAGAGCAACGAATGACTAAAATTTTGAAAAATACTAGACTTTGGCCTCTATTATGCACTCTACCAAGGATTTCTACAAGATCGTCCAGTTTCTGTCAAAAGATATTGGAACTAAAGTAAATTGCATAGTTTAGATGTCAATGACATTGTCCTCGGGTCTCGAATGAGTTCCCACAAGAATGTCTTAAAGCTCATAGGATGCTGCCTTGAGACTGATCTTCCAATTCTAGTCCACGGTGATAAGACTCTAGCTGCACATATCTATGATATCGATGGGAATTGCAACGAGCCATTGTCAAGGAAAAGCAGGATAAAAATCGCAACGGAGATTGCCAATGTAGTTGCTTATCTCCACACTGCCCTTTCCAGGCCTGTTGTTCACCGCCATACAGAACCAACAAACATTATACTGGATAAGGACAATGTTACAAAACTGGCTAGTTTTTCGCGTTCTGTAGCTGTTCCTGAAGGTGAATCCCTTGCCAACAATCTTGCAGGAGGCATGAAGGGATACGTTGCACCTGAGTCCTTCAATGGTTGTTTTACTGAGAAAAGTGATGCTTTTAGTTTTGGGGTAACTCTAATTGTCCTTCTTACTGGAAAGAAGGCATATGATTCCTCTCAGATTCATTTTCTATGCAACTACCAGATGGCCGATCGCATTATTACGGCCCAAGTACCCTGGCCTGGAAAAGAGCAACAACTGGAAGCTTTTAGAGCTCTTGCACATAGATGTATCCAACATTCAGCAGAAGACAGGCCAGCAATGATCGAAGTGGGAAAAGAACTCAGGCAGATTTATCTATCTCTGTATACTCCCTCTTAGCTTCCCTTCAAACTTTTCCTGTCGTCCTGCTTTGAGAATTGAGAGTTATTTAAAAAATTCATCAAGTCCTTGTTCTTTTATACACATCATCTTCTTTTTTGCGATGGTATGTATCCAAATTCAAAGTCCAGTGATACCATCACTTGTCACTTGTCTATTCTCAGGTGTATGCTAGCTCTAGTGTTGTTCAATGAAGTTATTTATCGATTATGTCATAAATCCGACCACCAAATCATCCTAATGCTATCAGACAACGAAAATCCCTGTGTAGAGAAGGCAGTGGGCTGGCTGAAACACTTAGAAAAGTTCATCTCAATCCCTGCAAGAGAAGGCAATAGGCTGGGTATTCGGTCCTGTAATTCCATCCCTTACAATATCCATTAAAAATATACAATTTTCGTATCTATCAAGAAATTATTTTTATACCCGACACATTCCCGGTTTACCAGTCAATTTAGTACCTACTAAAAATAATTTATCAAAATATTTCATTTTAAATCTTAAAAAAAAAATTATTTGTCCTTAAACTTATTATTTACAATTTGGTCCTTTGATAATAATTTCTTTTAACGTCAAAGTTTTCATAAAAAGTTATGATCCTTACATTATAAAGTTTGTTCAATAAAGGCTTTATATGTTTTTTTTAAAAAATAATTAATGATTATTAATAGGATATAAAATAAGTATCTACACAATATATATATATATATATATATATATATATATCTGTCTCAATAATTATTAGGTATTTATAATGATAATTTAATTGAATTGAATTGAGTAGTTATTTATTTTAGATTCGATCCATTATCATTTTTAATCCAAATATTCTGTGTAATATAAATTTGATTTTTTTTTCTAACAGCCTAATTTCCTAACGTTATTAATTTAAATTAATTGAATAATATTTTATCAAGTCTTATATCAATCCACCAAATTATGAGTAAATTATAAAGTAGTCCTTCTAGTTTCAAGAAACAAATTAATTAGTCCTCCTCATTTTAAAAACTATTATCTAGTCTTTTAATCCGTATGACCATGCTTAATTTAATATTATTTTTATTCCATTAAATCTTTTATGTTTTTCATCAATATTATTCAATTAATTTGTTTCCTTTGAATACTCAATTGAGGGAGTTATAGGATCTGGAGATACTTATTTAAAGTTTGCAGCTAATACCAACGTTGACACATGCAAGTCTTCTCCTGCTCTCCTCTCTGTCCAATTTCTACAAATTTTTCATTACCAGACTACCAAATTTTTGTGGCCTATTGGGAGCTCTCTCTCTCTCTCTCTCACACACACACACAAACATACACACAACAAGAAGGACGGGTTTTTTAATTATGTGGAGCAAATCATTCCAGCTTGAGAGCTGTCTTGACCACTACTCATCAGAGTCAGAGGTACACCACTTTATAATCAATCATCTTTACTCTTTTTTCCGATCGTTTGCATATATATATATATACATATATGTATGTATGTATGTGTATGTGTGTGAATTTTCTGTTGATTTATGCTTCTTACAAATTGCTCCAGTTTCAAAGGGAAATTAAGGTTCTGATTTCAACATTTGAGCTAGTTTAAAGAGATAAACTTGTTTAGCTGTATTGATGATATTGATCTTACACTACCAGTTTCTTCCTATCAGGTTGTCTCCCATATCAGATGCTACGTTTTCAAAAGTTATGACAAAAGCACAACAACCACACAGGTTTCTGAATATGGACAGGCCTTTCTAGCTTGATAGCTGACCTGACCATTCAGAGATACATCAACTTTATCACCCTTGCACATTTTTAGTCTGTCTGCATGTTAATTCACTTACTGCTTTTAATTTCAGGTAACTAACGATTACCTGCCCAATTATATTTCCTTTCTACAAAATATGTAGAGGGTATTGTCAAAGAGCCATCTCAACCCAAAAATTTAAGCTATTAAGTGAGGTCTTAGAATCTGATTTTATGAGTAATGGGGTTAATTCTGATTTTTTATTTTTCAAGCCAAGGATTTCATGCTGCTTTGGTATTATTCTTATATCTAGTTTATATGGGTAATCTTATAGTATATTTGCGGTTTGCAGTTTTGCTAGGCAGCTAAGATGGCTTCATGTTTAAAAATAAGGAAAAGAATTACCAAAGAGGAGATACACATGATGAAAAACGGAAGAATCTTGTTGGAGGAGCTTATTGCTTCTTGGGATGGAAAATGTAATCCTATCCGTACCTTCTCAACCAAAGAGCTCCAAAGAGCAACAAATAACTATGATTCTAGACAGTGTATTTTTGAAGATTGTGATTACAAACTGTACAAAGGCTTTCTGGAAGACCGTCCAATTTCTGTTAAAAAATATATTGTCCGGGGAGGAACATCGGAATTTGTTGGATCGCCTTTCACGGATGTTGCCATTGGGTCACAAGTGAGTGTGCACAACAATGTCTTAAAGCTCATCGGATGCTGTATTGAGACTGAATATCCGGTTTTGGTGTACGAATTCGTAGGCAATGAGAGACTCTCCAACTATATTGCTTCTAGCAATGAGATGCACCCTCGGTTACTATCTTGGAAATGTAGGATAAAAATCACAGAAGAGATTGCTAATGCACTTGCTTATCTCCACACTGCACTTTCCAGGCCTGTTATACACCGCGATATTAGGCCCGCAAACATTATACTGGATCAGAATTGTGTTGCCAAACTGACAGATTTTTCACTTGCTATACGTATTCCTGATGGTCAATCCCATGTAACAGATGTAATTCGTGGGAAGATGGGTTACTTGGCACCTGAATATAGTGCTAAGGGTGTCATAATTGAGAAGGTTGACGTTTTCAGTTTTGGTCTGTTTCTACTTGAGGTTTTGACAGGGCGAAAATATGTTTATCATGAACCAGGTGATGTGTTTCATTTCTTACCAGATCGTGTCAAGGATCTTATTGACAATGATCAGCGGTTGATTGAGATTGTACATCCTGCTATTTCGAGAGAAGACATTGAGCAGCAAGAATTGCAAGCTGTTGCAAAGCTTGCTCTTAGTTGCATCAGCGAGGAAGAAGAAGATCGGCCAACAATGACAGACATAGCAAGAGAACTCAAGAGAATTCAGAAGCATGTTCCACCTCTTTAACTTGTTAGCTAGCTCGCACCAGTCAGATGTTGATTGTTGTTCAATAACTGCAATAAGTTTGTATGTTATGTTTTAACATTTCAAGAATGTATAGCTACAAAACCATGTTCATTTGATTGAACACTACTTTAGATATCATTTATTCCTCATCTTTTGTCAGTTAACATGCTCTTATCTGCACATAATATCTTTGTTGTTCTAATCCTAATCCACCTTTTGACTTGTCGACTGTGCCTGCATTCTCATCAATTAACACACAGTTTTTTATTCAGATATAGATATATGTTTCCAATTTGTTCAATGAACATGGTCAGGCAGGTTACTTAATTAATTTTAAGGAGAAATCAAGCATATACACCTATATAGCTCACAAATATTATCCCAAAAGAAAAAGGTTAAGGCTTAAGCAAACAGGGTTTAGGGATGTGAAATTCGAAGGAAACTGTTAGATGAAATTTCCTGTCTTCCAATGTTTTTTACCTGAACGAAGTTGCCTACTCTTTTCATTTGACCTTATGGTATGTTTACCTAGGAGTTTTATTCTTATCTCCATACTGCACTTTCGGGACCTGTTATAAACCGGGACATTAGACCTGCAAACATCATCATGGATAAGGATTATGTTGCCAAACTAACAGATTTTCCAGTAGCTATTTCTTTCTTGATGGTCAATCTCATGTAGAAGATGTTGTACGTGAGACGATGGGTCAGTTGGCACCTGAATATCTTGCTACGGGTGTTATAACTGAGAAGGTTGAAAGTTTGCTATTTCGCTCTGTGTCTACTTCAGGTTTTGACAGGGCGAAAAGATGTTTATCATGAACCTGTTGATGCATGTCCATGTTTTTGGCAGATAGTTTGATCCACTATATATATAGAGAATCAGCAACTGATCGAGATTGTACATCCTACAGTCTTGAGAGAAAGAATTAAGCACCAAGAACTGCAAGCTCTTGGTAAAACTTGTGCCTTGATCTAATGATTGATGTAGTTGCCATTCTTAACAAGTTAATGTTAACTCCTGTAAGAGCCTCTTTCTCATAGATGCAAAAAGGGTTTCTTGGATACAGTCTTCCGACCCTGATATCTGCCTTGGTCATTCACAGGTATTTCTACTTTCTTATTCATTTTTAGACTTTTAGTTTGTTTGCTTGCTAATTCACCTACTGTGCCTTGATCTAATTTCAAAAGGAAGGATTCTGATCTTCCATTTCAAACTCCTGCTTAAAGTCTTGCTCATAGTACAATTCTAAGGAAATTGCTTGATGTTTGAGATGAAATTTCCTCCACATATCAATTGTCTCCTCAGTCAATTGACTTCTATAAATATCAAGGGAAACTCTAAAAATAGTCCTCATCCTTTATAATAAGTATCAATTGAGTCCTTAACAAATATAGTTTTCGATTGAATCTCTAATTAGATGTTAAAATAAGAAACAAACAAACAAACCTGAATTATACCCTCCCTTTCGTCTAAAGAATCAGACACTTTTAATGAAATAATATCAAAATGACAAACCCCTTAAGAATAATTTGATTTTTAATCCTTCAATCATTACTTTAAAGTTTGGCCTAATATTTACGTTGACTCCTGCTAGTCTTCTCCTTCGTGTCCAGAGGCTTTTGCCTCTGATATGGGACAAGTCTTTTTCGCTTGATTTTTCCTATTCAACGGACTACATTGCATTTTGAAATTTCAATGTTTGAACAAGCACATAAGAAAGCAATTCCATATTCAAGAGATAAACTTGGTTAATTACTTGTAATATTGCTGGTATTGGTACCAATTTCTTTATTAGCAGGATATGTTTTAAAATAAGCTGATTCTTCACTTAGTTTTTCATATTAGGGTTCTGGAAGTTATGACAAAAGCAAGTACATGATGGATAGAAATTCCAAGAAAATTGCTTTATGTTATGTGTTGAAGATCTGAGATGAAATTTCTCTCGTCATACTTATGCCAGACAAAGGCCTGCCTTGACCAATGACCAAACAGAAGTAAAATAGAATATTCTTAAGTCGGAGGATGGAAAGTCAATTCTCCGTCTTAATTAGGGAGAATTTGTTCACTGTGAGACCGACTAGTCGAACAAAGACGAAAGTCGGCCAGTCAAGCTTAGAGTAGGCATGAAGAACAGGATGGACTGCCCAGTGAAGAGAAAATTTCCTCATGAATAACTAATTTGAATGTGAATGGTCCATCTAAGATCTAATTGAAAAGAGATTTAATCTAAATTGTGAGAGCCCACTAAAAATACATAATAACTAATAAAAATAGAATAAAATAAGCTTTTAGTTGTTATCAAGAATGAAAGATCTAAAATGAAAATACAAAAATTAGAATGAAAATTACAAGATCGAAATGACATTTGCATTATGTTTGAAATAATAATAAAAATAAAAATTATATTTTTTAATATCTAATTTTTAAAATAAATAAAAATAATAATTAAAAAATAATTTTACTAATTATGATAGTAGCAAAAATGATAAAGATGATTATAATGGTGGTGATGATAGATTGGGAATAAGAGGAAGAGAAAATAATAGTAATAGTAATGATATATTTTTAAAAAAATTAATACCATTACTAGAGGAGGTGACACTAGAAGAAGAATAATAATAGTGGTTATAGTGATAATCTAATAAAAGTGATAGTGGTAATAGAAAAGTTTTATAATAATAATAATGATAATTTATTTTTAAAATTTTTTTATCACTATTATCAATGATAGTGGTGATATTGATGTTATAACAAAAGTGATGACGGTAATTGAGTAATATTGATAACGAAATAATAATAATAATTTTTTTATGAATTATTTTTGTTACCACTACCAGTGAAGTGTTGGTAGTTGTAGTTGTGAAGGTAAAGATTATGATAATAGTAAAAATAATTGATATATAATAAATAAAAATAATATATTATTATTAAAAGGAAAAAAATTCATTTTATTCTTTATTTTTTATTCTCATCTCCCTCCATAGGAATTAAACATAGTGAAACAATATTTAATTTTCATTCTTTATTTCTATTATCATTTCATTCTTTTTTATCAAATACTTATAAAACGAGAATAAAAATTTTTATTCAAATTTTTGTCATTCTATTTTTTTTTTTTACCAAACACTACCTTAATTTCATCATGTAATTCCCAATGAAAAGGTATAAGTAGCAAATGTACCATTAACCCCTCCATATTCAATCTCATCAATTAAGATTTAAAAAATATCACAACTGATTATTATTTCATATTTGCCCATAAAAGGGAAAACCTTTCATTTCTGACTCCAAATATTCTAGGGGTATTTTAGTACTCAGACGTGGATGCTTTCATTCTCTTGTATTTGGTTCGCGTTGGTTAGGTGGGGTCAGTTACGATTTTGGAGACACAATCCTTATTTAGTCCTTGTAATTTTACATATTTAGCAAATAAATCCCTGTAAGAAAATGTTTTCAATTTTACTCTATATTATTAACATTTCATCAATTCATCACAAATAAACTCATTTCAAGAAACATATGATAAATTTATCCAAAATAAAGATACTTTAGTGTCTAAAAATTCTTTCCAATAGGATTTATTGACCAAATGTAACGTATATAAGGTAAATTTGATGAATTTTCTTTCAGGAACTTTGTTGCCAAATTTGAAAAACTATAAGGGCTACTTGAGGGGATTTAAATTTTCTATTCGCGTGAAAAGAGAGCATTAACAGAAACTGATACAAGCCAAAGCAAGTACGAAACGCTCTCTCTGTTTCTCAATAAGGAAAGTCTGAAAAACAAAGCAAAGCTCCTTACTTTTTGATCAAACAGGCCATATTTCACATAGAATTGCTGCTAATATCCCGCTCTAATATTTTTCCCTTGTGTGTGAGAGATACGCATTGAACATTAATAAAGAGCAATAATTTTTGTTGGGTGTTTTTGGAAAGTATTTGTTATATGTGATTGTACTGATAATGGTGGTTTTGAGGGATTTCTTTTATGGGTTTTTCTGGTTTTTGGATTTTAGAAGTGGGTTTTGAATTTAAGTTCAAAAGGATGATTTTTGTTTTAGAGAAGTATTTAAAGGTTTTTTTCTTTTTGTGTTCTTGGTTAACTTTTGGGATTTTGATGACTGAGAAAAGTTAAGGTTAGTGTGTTAGAGTTGAGTTTGGTTTTGGATTTTGTGGTGTTGTGGAAGTATGGGAGAGAGTGAGATTGAAGAAGGAGAGGCATGTGATTACATGGACAATGGTGATCGGAACATTGATATTGATGTGGCTCTCTCTTATATTGTAAGGGTTTTAGCAATATTTTGGTAGAAAGTTTTGATTTTTTTTTATTTTTTATGGAAGTGATTTTGCTAAAATTCTAATTGCTGTTTTGGAAGTTTCCTTTGTTTCTTTTGTCTTCTTTAAAATTGGATTCGTGATTTTAAACTAATGGCCAATTGGATGTGAAGTTCTTAGCCATTTGTTAATAGTTTTTTGCTCTGTTTAGTTTCTAAGAAAAGTCAGGAGTGAAGGGAAAAAACAAAATCTTGGACTTTATTTTGTTGTTTTTGGCATGGAATTTTCAGTGTGAACATTGGTGTTCTGTTTTCTTGTTCGTCTTATGCAATTTGTCTGGAACCTCATGGAACATTTGTAGAAATAGGTACTGCGAAAGAGAAGAAAATAATTGGCTCTGTGATTTAGCTTTTACTTGTACCAATGTAGGTCTAGAATTTCTCTGTTAAGTGCTACGAAATTGTGTAGCTTCATAATCAATGTGTTGATTGTTGAACTGATTTTGCTGGACCTGGATTTTGCTGTTTACTACCATAAAAATTCCTCTATCTTGGGTGTTGTTCTTGTTGCCACTGTAAATGAGTTCTAACTGCTGAAGAGTTTATTGGTATCTTACTCTTAAGTTAACTTGATGAAACAACCTTTGTTGAATTTAATAAACCTTTTGTATATGATGGATGTTTATTTGGAACATGGCTATTTGATAAGCCTTGGTATATATTGTGTCTCTAAAACCTTCTGCAAAACTCTACCTTAGAAAAATTTCTCTACTGACAATGGGCATGAGAACGAAACAATTTTTCTATTTTATATGAATGATTTACCTTTTGAAACCTTTGTGACCAGGGTGCATTGTGCCAATTTATTTATGCAATGTTTTTAATAGCCTTTGCGCTGTTTTTTCACTTTTTTTCCTTTTGTCCTTGTGATTGCTGGTTGTCTTGATTTCTTGTAGTTGTTGCTTTATATTTTGAGTTACATTAAGCAGTTGGTGTTTTTACAGGGTGATAGGATTCAGGAAATCTTGGGGCAGTACCGAAAAGATTTTGAAGGTGGAGTTTCTGCAGATAATTTGGGTAAGTGATGAATTAGAGAATTATTGGAAAATGTGGGAAATTATTTGGTGCTATGTTGGAATTCTTTAAGTAATGGTTCGGGATTAACTAATGTTGACAGGGGCAAGATTTGGTGGTTATGGTTCGTTTTTACCTACTTATCAGCGTTCCCCTTCTATATGGTCGAATCCAGTAATCCAGCAGAAAGTACAAAGTCATGGCATACAAGCATCTTCTCATGATGATCAGCTGGCAGAGGTAGATTCTAATAATTTTGGAGATCAGAAACAGTAGTTAGTTTCTTGTATCTTCGTGCTACCCTAATACATGGGTTTATGTCATCACACAGGGTGCCGTTCAGAACTCCACTGGTTCAATACATGAGACTGTTTCTGGAAGACCCAAAGCTGCTTCAAGAAGTGGCTTTCCACTTCCTGTAGCAAAAACTTTGCCTGAGGATAGGTTGGTTAAACTTCATAGTTCGGGAGAGTGCTTTTCTGATCATGAACCACTTAAAGTGCTAGTTAACCAGTCGGACCAGAAAATGCTGAAGGTACGAATCAAAGTGGGGTCAGATAGTTGTTTACCGGAGCAGAAAAAATCATCAATTTACAGTAATCTTGGCCTAGACATGTCTCCATCATCATCTGAGGAAACTGACAGCTCTTCTGAATGGGGAAGGGATTTTCCAGATTCTCTAGAGAAAGACATGTATTCTCCATCCCGCATTGTCAGGGTGAGGTGTCTTCCACTGTTGTATTATTACAAGCATTGTTCTCTATGGATTGTTTCTCATTTGGTTGTTTTTGTTTGCCACTTTAATTGTTATGTAATGAACAGATCATGACCTCTTCTCCCGTTCCCAGTGGTGCATTGTTGTCACCTCTTGATGATTGTTTGCTTAATTTATCAGAACAAAAAGATTTTTTGGACCATAAAAGACTCGTACCTGTGCAAGAGCGCTCTGCCATGTGGGCTGATGAGAAAGTACTTGTGGAGAAACAAAAGAAACCACGTGATAGAAATGTTAGGTTGGTGGAGTTGAAGAATGAACATTATAATGATCCTCCCAATTCTCTTAGTGCCAGTTCAAAAAATGAAACAAGTATGGAGACCTCAAAGGGCAACCATATATTATCTGATGCTGGGAATCACCCACCTGAATCTAAAACAACTAAAGTGGGTACAGTAGCTGTTGGAACAGGTACAATATTCAGAGCCAATGTGAGTGGGGCAGAAAAAGAATTATTTAGCCAAAAAGCTTGCAAGGTTCATGAAGTGAGTGCAAAAGCTACTTCGACTGGAAAAGTTCGGAAAGCTAACAAATTAGGCTGTGACCCAAGAGACAATGGGAGCAAAGGTGATAAAAGTCATGCTTTGTTTAAAGAAAATTATGACATGCCTGAGGGCATGAGAAAATGTAGAGATGGAACATTAGATCTTACAAAACAGAAGTTTGAAAAGAAGAAAACAACCAACCTACAGGATGATGTGAAGGTATCTCATGGGGAAAAACAACTATCTGCTGACAAAAAGAAACCCAAGGGAAGCAAAAATGATTGTAGCTCAACTGTTGGGACATCAAATAACATGAGGATCCGTTTGTCTGCTGAACCAAAAGAAAAGATCTTTCGGAAAAGCTGTAAAGGGGATAATGCATTGCTCGAAGATTTGAGAAAGGTAAAAGTTAAACATGCTGTATCAACTGGTGACAGAAAAGCAGGGAGAAATGAATCTAGAAGCCGTTTGTTGGGAGCTCCTGCTGAAGATGAGACAAGGGACTATAAGCTTGAGGTGCCTGAGAAAGAACCGCCTGCTTTCAGAAATAAATCAAATGTGAGTTCAGGTGATAAAAAAGCCAGTTTCTTTTCATCTTCTAAAGCAAATTCGAGAGGAGACATCAATGATGTTGCACCACTAGCTTGTCCACTTCCTATGGAGGTTGCACCATTTCTTATAGAGGAGAATTGGGTGTGTTGTGACAAGTGTCACAAGTGGCGGCTTCTACCGTATGGTACAAATCCGGACCAGCTTCCACAGAAATGGCTGTGCAGCATGCTTGACTGGCTGTAAGTGCTTTAGCTGGATATATGAACTTTTTTGGTTGTGTCAGTAATAGTTAGAGAATAATTGGCATAAATTTAGTTGATACTTATTGATTAGCTTCAAATTTGAATAAATATAAAACCATGTTAAAGTGGACCTTGATACTTGGTGATTGGTTTCTAGCTAGCGAGAATATCTCGTACTGTATCTTGCTATCATTTAAAAATTTCGGAAGAGTAGGTCATGCAAGTATTTTATTCAATGGTGGAAGATAGTGTCAGTAAATTAAATGGTTAATGTGAAGGGTACTTCAAAGTTCAGACGCTCACTATTAACCTCAACATGATTAAATTCTCCAGGCTGAATGATAAACTATCCTTCTGGATGAATGCAAGTATTTCCCTGTTGAAGAAAATGGCTTTTGTATTGCTCTCTCTCCTCTCTAATATTTATGCTGATGGAAACTATTTTCAGGCCTGGACCTGGAATGAACCAGTGCACTGTTAGTGAGGAGACGACGACAGATGCTCAGCGTGCACTTTATCCGTTACCTGTTGCAGGGAATCATGATGACCGGCTAAGCCATTCTGTCAGCGCTGAATCTTTAATTACCTCCGTTAATACCTGGCATGATCTTGATCAAAATACACAAGATCTTAGTTTTAGTGGTGGAAAGAAGAAACCTGAAATGAAAGAAGTATCTAATCCAGCTCGATATAGTGTTTCTAAGAAGCAGCTGAACTCTACGATGAAGAATGAACATGTCTCTATTGAAAGAAGAAGTTTACATAACAGGAGCTTGTGTTCTTTGGAGACCAAGTTGGAGAAAAGATTGGGTATTCCTCATTCAAACTAGATTTACTTGTGTTGGAAAAGGCTATAAATGAAAGAACTGTTTATTTCTTGATTGCTGGGTAGATTTGGTTATTGCCACAATATTAAGGTTGAAAAATGTACTTTGACAGCTATTGGGAGTTTTCCTTTATTTTTCCTTCTCCCCTCATGGTGTTAGTGGAAACTCATTAATGCTTGATACTTGATGTGATGGTATTCATGGAAATAAATACCTGAGCAAGATGTTATTTCTTGTTTGATACTAAGTTTTGTTTGTAGAAACTGGGAGATGTAGGTTCTATTAGTTGATCATCCAAGGCATTATTACATTTAGGATATGCTTCTGTTGATAGATGATCAGAAGTAGATGTGCTCTTTGATGAACTTTCTTCGGCTATTGAAGTCCTTATGTGTACTTAATATTTTCTTCATCGCAGGTGATGTGCAGCCACAGAAATTGAAGATCGAGAGGGAGGCCGATGAAGAAGATTTCAAGCTTTCTAAAAAACCAAGGATGGCTGGTAGGCACTATGCGGAGGAAGATCAGCATACTGGTGGAATCTCAAAGAAAGAAATGGAAAGTAATAATAAAAAATATTCATCTTGCAGGGATGTGAGGTGTCTCACAAAGGATTCCACAAGTCTTTATGTTAAAAAACAACATATTCAATTTCCAAAGACAGTGGTTGCAGAGGATCAAGATACAATGGGTATTGAGGGGAAGAAGAGAAAGTCAAAAGACCGGGTGAACAGTCAGATATATCTTGGTAACCATTCTGGTAATATGCAAGATAACAGTATTTCAGTGGAGGAGACAAGTCGGAGTGAATGCAGGAATGAAAAGAAGGCAAGAAAATGTAAATCCAAGGGAAAGGACTCTAGTGCAAGCAAGGGGGATTGTAAAATGTTTGGAAAAGATAAGGTGAATTATTTATCTCAAGCAACTGCTGATGGTAAGAATTCAGAAGGAAGGGATTTGAGAGATGGACTGCAATGCATGGCAGCTACCTCTAGCTCATCCTTGATATCAAGCACTTGTAAAGTTAAAATCAACTTCCAAGACATCAAGGGCTCACCTGTGGAGTCAGTCTGTTCTTCACCTTCGAAGATTTCTAACCAAGGCAGTCCTAGAAGGAGCTTGTCAGGCAATCGTGGTAGCTCAGATGTTGGTTTTTCTCACTTCAGTGGCCAAACAAAATGCTTAGAAGGTGAATCTGTTGGTGTAAGTAATTGGTCTGGGACCATAAGGAAGGAAAATGCCCCTGTTTCTGCACCCATCAAGGAAAAATCAAGGGAAATCTATAGACGTAATGATGATAAAGCTGAGAAAACTATTGCTGGTCAGAAGGTTTCTTCCATCGAAAGTCTAAATAATAGTAATAGAGAGGATAATCAATTTGGATGTGAAGGACATGACTCACTTAGGAAAATGGATGCTGTTATTCAGAAGGATTGCAAATTGGCTCCACAGCATAATGTGCTGCAGAACCACAGCAGTAGTGGATCTTTGGACTTGCTTCCATCTGACACAATTAATCAAGTGGAAAAGGCTGCTGGGAGACGGAAGTCATTGGATTTCTTATTTTTTGGTGATAAAAAGGAAAATCAGTGTTTGATAAGTAGTGAATATGATGCATTGGAAGTTGATGGTTCTAGTTCTGATGACTTGGCAAGGACCCCAAGACAACTTGGAAAGGATGATGGTCGGAATGGGCTTCAAGATGTTATGCCAAGGCATCCTTTGCCTGATGCCAGCAACGTTGTTGCATCAAATCATATCAGAAGTGATTTCTTTAGTCAGGGAGCAAATGATGCTTTGGAAGGAGCCAAGGATCTTAAGCATTCAGCGGATCCTCTTAAGGTATTTCCTTCCTCTGCTGTCTTAATTTTTTATCTCTAGAGCATTTCACTTTGGTTTATTTCTTCTGGAGAGTTATTATGTGGTTATATATTTACCTTGAAAAAAATCTGACAGTTCATATGTTTTCTTTATGCTTTGAAGATTTCTGCTTCAGGCCTTCAAAGTGCCGAGCTATTCTTTCAGGCAGCTTTGAAATTTCTTCATGGGGCATCACTTTTTAATCCTCATAACAACAACATTATCAACAATGGAGAGATGACATCAGCTGAAATGTATGGTCATGCTGCAAAACTTTGCGAGTAAGTATAGATTGCCAACTGTTATGAAACTCTGTATGTTGTCTTTTGGAGGTCTACTGAAAGAAAAGAGAAGGAAAAGGAATTTGTCAATCAGAACAGGGGTAATAGGAATGAATTATAAGTGATAAGAATCCAAAACTGGCAGTAGACTTGCAGTGCCTCAGAATAGATGGTAGAATTGTGTCCCACATTGTGTTTTCACTTATTAGACTGGGCTTATCTTATCACGTTTTGCATATATCAAATCGTTTTTATGGCTAGACCATTGACTTATTCGTTTAGTATGTAGTATGAGATTGTTAGAAAGATACAAACGGTACTCAAAGTATGTAGATGGGGCAGGATATAATCACAAGGCAATTGGCATCATCTCTAGGAAAATTATCACTAAAAGCAAATCCTGAATATAAGCTAAAAGTTGGTGTGTTTTTCACATATAGTTTAGAGCAACATATTGCTTCAAGTTAATTTTAATATTGCGAGAACTTTTTTAGAGTTTTCCTTATAATTGCCTTTTAAAGTGTACAAGTTCCTACAGTGATCTTAGTTTTATTGCACTAACAGACTACCATGTCGTAGCTGTCTAGAAGTTTGATGGTGTTTATGTCCTTTTAAAGCTGGAAATATTATCTGTGTAACTGCATTTGGATGCTATCAGGCTTTAAGTTCCTTATGGCTGAGAAAGGACTTATTATGGAATAAACATTTTGATATGATGCTTGCTTGAAAATGTTTATGCTAAAGCATAATCCAATCTAGATGTTGATCGATACTTTGTTGAGGGAATAATTTTGAAAGGAGTGCGTGTCATTGTATCTGCTTCTACAGATATTGTGCTTCTGAATTTGAGAGATGCAATGACTTGGCCTCTGCTTTTTTGGCATACAAATGCATCGAAGTGGCATATATGCGGGTAGTGTATTCCAATCACCTCACTGCAAGCAGGGATCGGAATGAACTGCAAGTGGCATTACAACGGGTTTCTCCAGGTAAAAATAAAATAAAAAACAACCATGGTTTTGAGATAAATTGAAAGTGTTTGAATGAATAAAATCTGGGAAAATGTGTCAAACCTATGTCATATCTTTATAAAATTAGAATTCAAAGAGAAGAATTCTTGCTTGACATTTTTTCTCCTCTGGTCCTCAGTTGAGTCTCCATCATCTTCCGACTCTGATGTTGAGAACCTAAACAATGAGGTAAAAGTGGGGAAGAGACATATAACTAAGGATGTTGGTTCTCAAGCAGCTAGAGATCATGTCATTCCTGCTAGAAACCAACCCAACTTTGTCCGGTTGCTTAATTTTGTACGTATATCTATCCTAGTATACTATTTCCTTCTTAGTTGTGCATGATTTCTTCTTTGTGATAAGTATCATATCAATTTGTAAACTTGCTGTAGTCATGAAAAAATATTTGAACAAAATATTGTCATCTGTTGTGAAAAGCTAATGGCAGTTTATCTTTCGGGAGTATATTTATACATTCGCTCATGATCAAGAATTATTTTCATTTAGCAGGATGTCAATGCTTGATGTAAAAATCCTGAAACTCCTGCAGAATAATATAAAAAGAAAGTAATTATGGAGGAAGACATGGTCACTGACTCTGAGTTTCTAGCATTCATTGTAAACTTATGTTCTTCTCTCTTACCATATAGGCAAAAGAAAATTTATATAAGGGATTTAGGACGACCATGCAATTGATGGTAAGAGCCACACCACATTTCCTTGGAGTACTTTCATGGAGAACGTATGAAAAGTGTCTAGGTTTTCTTGTTTGTTACTTTCTACTTCATCTCTGTCCATAGAGAGAATTCGCATAATGACAAAATTATCATGGTTTTTTCCTTTTAAACCAGACATTGGTATTGGCAACAGATGATACTGCTTCCAAAAATAGCCAGGAGAAATGATGAGAGAGATATTATTCCTGGTGTCCTGTATAGATTGTGCATTCACTTCCTTTCTTTTCTTATTGTTGCCATAGTTTACCCCTTCACACATACATGCATCTCGCATCCACTTTCTACTGCATCCTGCATGGTGCAAAAAACTTAGGCACAATGCTTATATTGTATGCAACTGTTTGCAGGCTGAAGATGTGAACCTTGCAATGGAAGCCTCAAGGAAATCTCAGGCTGCCTTTGCAGCTGCTGAAATTATTCTTGGAGAGGCAGGCAATATGGAGGGGATTTCTTCCATTAAGAAGGTCCTTGATATGGGCTTCCATGATGTAGAGGGGCTATTGCGGCTGGTACGCCTTGCAATAGAGAGCCTTCACAAAACTCCTTGATGTCTTGGGGAGCATCTTGATGCCAGGAACATGCTCTGCTTCTCCACTGTATAAATTTGTAAGAGACACAATTCCCATGTTCATACCTCTTAGGTAGTAAAGTAAGGTCAGAAAGTGGTACTTGAGTAAGGCCAGAAAGGGCTACATTGGAAATAAGGTTTCTCCTGAAATTTCAGAGTGATGCAACTTGGTGCTTTTCTGTTTTATTGTTGGAGGCTGGACACCAGTTTCTTTGACACTCCAAGCTGTTCATGAAGATAAACAGGTCTTCAAAAATTATAGATATCAATTAGCAATGCATCCAAAGATGACAGTTTTGAGCACCTGTATGTGTGCATGTTTTGATGGGGCTATACATACATAGTTAATGTTACTGCTATTTGTAAGCAGCTGTCTCATGAGGAAACAAGTCAAAGAGGAAGCTGATAATCTGCATAGGAAAAATAAGGAGCTTGCTAACGCAGACGAGAGCAAGTTCCTCTCTCTCTTCATCGTCTTCCTTTGTAACCTCAGCGAGTATTTAAAGTTCCAATGACCTTTTTTTATTGGTATACCCACATAATAACGATTATGACACGAATCTTCTTTTCTACTCAAAGACCATCTGGACAAAGTTTCGCTGTGAACAGAGCAATCCTGACTAGTCATTCAGAGGATCATGATCGGATAAAGCTCGGATGACTAATATTGACGAATGACATGAACAATAAAGGTGTCTTTTTTGTCGCTCGGTAGACTAAAAGCATATATATTTAATAAAAGATTGACTTTTAAGATATTTTTATTATATCATTATCAAATATGACTATCTTTATGTCATTAGACATTAATATTCGTTTAAAGATATCTTAAACTCTCGATTATATCTTAAGAGTTATTGAACACAAAATAACAAACCAATTTATTATTCATTCTATGTAAATTGATAATATTTTCTCTATATAAGAACAAAATCTCTTAAAACCTATTCAATTACCAATCATCTTAATTCTAGGATAACGACTTCATTATCTATAATGCTATAATTCCATGAACTTTGACCCTTTGTATACTGAAAATTATCGTAATCAATCATCTATAATTTCTAACCTCTTTTTGACCTATGTTTAAAGCTACCAATCCTTGCAACACAAACTTTTCTTTTCTTTTCTTTTTTCTCCCAGCTTTGACCAAAAAAAACCCCACCATGTGAATGCGCAAGTTAACTAGTATGATTTGGTTGACAAGTAATTAGATTAAGACAATCTCTCTTTTAACTTGAATATCAACCAGGTGGAGTAATTGTATCCCTCAAATATTTTCTCCTGTTGGATCAAATTTTATTTAAAAAAAAAAAAAACCAATGATATGAATAGTTATGACTGGGCACATACTTGTGTATTTAATCGAATATGTTTGAAGCAATATATATCAAAATTCTTTAACAAAATGCCATTTTTCCAGCTGAGATAGACGGAATTTCATAACAAAATTGAAAATTTAAAGTTGCATACAAAAGTTGACAGCAAATGACGAAACTAATTTGTTAAACTAAATCTTTGAAAGATTCTAAAATGTTCGAAATATCCGATTCAATGTTGTCTCTAGCAATAGCAAAAACAGAGATTATGGAACGTAGAACCATAATGCTATAGCCTATAGTGTCATCGATGGATAAATATTGTCTAACAAAAATCCATGGATCGATCTTATGTATGAATAGTATTTTAAAATGGGCCAAAGCAGTCAAACCTCTTCAACTTTAATTCATTTAAAAATCAATCCTTAAATTTTTAATTTATGTTTTGACATTCTTGAATTTTATTTTTTTGAAGATTTAGTTCATCTTGTAATTTTAAGCTACCACCTCTCCCTTTTAAAAAAATCAATTCTTGATATTTTGATCTGAAATTTTACACACGTCAGAAAAAATCCGATCTATTTTCTCAAAAAAATCCAAAAATTTTCAAGATCGAGAATTATATTTGTTTATTTTTTTAACATTAAAAATGTAAAAAATCGTATCAACTAGAATGATTCCAAATTTTTTTTTAAGAGTTTCAGATAAATCTTACTAAATAATTTTTCATCATAAAGTTATTTATGTAATTATTAATTTTTGAGAATAAATAACAAAAAACAAACTGATGGACTAAATATCAAAAAAAAAATAAATAAAGAAGATCAAAACATAAATTAAAAGTTTAAAAATTAATCTTTAAATAGATTAAAGTTCATAGAAAGTTTGATCTTTTTAGCTTTTAAAATTTGAAAATAACTTATAAAATATTATTTTAATAATACGGGGTGTGTGAAATTAAAGTTATGAAAATATATAAAAATTATTAATTTAATAAAAAATTGATAGAAAGACTAAGTTATCACCGAATTAAAACATAAAGAAATAATTGATTAGTTTTTGAAAAAAAAAACTAATTAATTAATTTCTATAAACAAGAAGTTCTAATTTATAATTTACTCAAGGTTGGGGTTATGGAAATGTTTCATCATCGTTAGAGAAGGAAGGGATCAAAATGAGCAAGCCCAGTGGGCTGTATGACTGTGTGTTGATGCTACATGTATGGTTCTTTTCCACTGAAACTAAAAGCACCATTGATGGTTCCATGAAAGGGACACGCAACTTGACAAAAAGTCTATCAGTCCAATGATTAGATTGGAATCAGTGTCTCTTCTTGTCTTCTAACTACCAGACCTTATTGCTCAAAAACTCCTTTCAGACAAGAGCTGGACATTGGACAATGCAGTATAAATTAGTCCCTTTGGTTTTCAGAAATGAATTGATTAGCTTTTTAAAAAAAATAATTATTCCGTTTTTTGTCATTTTATGTTTTCTTCTAATTTTTTTAAATAAAAAATAAAAATGAATAAATAAATCTTATGAAAATACTGACGAGAAAAACAGATATTTTTTAAAATAAAATAATATTAAATTAAATATAGTTAAGGAATTAAATAATTAGTTTTTGAAATAAAAATACATAATTAATTGATTTTTTGGAAACTAAATATACTAATTTATAATTTCCTCCACCAAACAAACATCTGTGTTTTTTTTTAATAATATTTTGGACCTTTTGATACCAAATAGAGACTTTTCTCTGGAAAAATATAAAGACAAAAAAAAAAAAAAAGATTCGTTTCACATTTTGAACTAGCATATCCTTAGTAAGGATAATTTATTAGCATCATTTTGAATTTGAAAAAAAATAAATAAATAAAACGTACCTTCACTCTTTTGTTTGTTTTTTTCTTTAAGTTCTTATCTTTTTAACAAAATTTTAAAAGATAAATAAATAAATAAACCTTGGTTCTCTCTCTTTTGTTTTTTTTTTTCACGTAAGTGGGTACCCATCAACCATTGCTCATCCATCCCATGGGCCCGCTTACACATCACTTAATCACCCTTCAATTCAAAAGATTCAACTGCCATGTCTAAAGTCCCTGCCCATCACATCTCATGAACGTGTCCATCCTATTTTCCCTTTTTTTCTTTTTTTTTTCTTTTTTCGGCCAAAGCCCATACAAAATTATTGATAGTTACATCATTTTATAAATATTTTAAGAATATATATATATATATATATATATATATATATATATATATATATATATATATATATATAACTTGGGCATCACTCTTGTTGTTTTTTAAATATATGTGAATCTCCAAAATGAAACGCAACGACGATAAGGTACATTGAACTCAAATAAAATAAAACAAATAAAACGAAAAAATAAAGTTTCAATTCCACACGACAAGATGCAAGAATCTGTTCTGATGTTGGGATTATAATTAAATAGCAATAATTAATGGGAAATGAAAAGGAAAGATATCTAAGATAAACATATTATACTGCCAAGTTATAGAATATATATAAGATCATCCTGAAAAGGAATATAATTTTACTTCTTAATCTATAATTGTGTAGTGAAAATTTTTATTTATAAAAATAAATAAATTAATGATTTGGAAAATAATTTAAACTAAAATAAATCAACATTTTAAAATAGATAAAATAAAATAATAATTTTATTTATGAAAGTAATCATATACATATTAATAAATTAGAAATCAAATATAGTAATAAAAAATAACTATTTAAAATTAAATAAAAAAAATATTTTTAACAAATAAGTCCATAAAAACATTAAAAAATTATTGTATTTATAAAAAGCAAGAACTAAGTAGAATACTATAAAATAATTTTTTAATCATAAATTAATTCTATGGTTTTAACAAATTTTTTTTAAAAAATGAATTATTATTTTTGTATTTATATACATGAGAAAGTATAAGGATATTATGTTTCTTATAGCATGTTGTTCTATCTCATACTTTCCAAACACAAAGCAAAACAGTTGTCTAGCTAAAATACTATAAAATGATTTTTTAAAAAATAAATTATTTCTATCATTTTAGCAAATTAAAAAATTGGATTATTATTTTTGTATTTATATACATTAAAAATTATAAGGATGGTATGGTTTTTATAATATGTTCTGTCATGTCCCATATTTGCTAAATACAAACAGAAGAAAGAATAATTATTTATTCTATCTAATTCAGTGCAATCTCTTTTTTTTTTTTTAAATACCCAATGCATAACATGTATTTTTAAAGATCATATTTTTACTTTCATGTAAAAAAATAGCTTTTTTTTAACTACACGAGAAGTAAAAGTCCACAAACAATTTTAAAAAGGTTTCAACAACTCTCTAACCTTTATGGCGACCACAAATCATAAATTTCTTGCCCTCTGAGAAAAGCTAAAATGTATCAGCATAGATTGAAGCGAAATGGAAAGAAATTGATTGATTTTAAATAGACTGAGGTGGTGGTATCTGGATACCATTTGCTCACTTTTCGTGAAGGATTCGCATTATTTGTCAATTTTGATGTGGGCTCTCGTTAACCATAAATTGACATTTTTTGTTTTTTGTTTTTTGCTTTTGTTTCGTTTTTTTTTCTTTTTCCAAATGGTTAGGTAGTAGCCTTTGTA